GTTTAAGGTTGTACCGTTGTTTGATCATGTGATAGGGTTTGATGGGTAATCGGACCATGACTGGTGTGGTTATGGAAGTAATGTATAAACAGTGGAGAGCCAATAGGGGGCACCATTGAACTATTATGTTTTGTTGGGCATTTCAATGGCATAAGGTGAAATCTGTGTGTATGAGTGAATTCAACGGCTGGTATGGGTAGTGACCGGATACTACTGAGTATTTGGTTTGTTGATGTTGAATGGACGATTTGTAGCGTGTTTTGGGTTAAATAGAAAGGCTCACTTATTCAACCGAAATAGGTGCGGGGAGAGAGTTTTTGTGTTACTGAATGAGGTGAGAGTTAAACTACTGAGAATAGAGAAGTATTATGGACACTCCGTAATAAATAAACTGAACCAAACAAGACGTTACTACAGCAATAGAGGATGGTTAATGTTGTTACGTTAGTTTTTAAACCCGATGATAGAGGTAAATGCAAAACGCTGTTTGAGAGTGTGTTTTATTTTTGCTACTAGGGGATTTAGTGTTTGAGATGAAAGGGCTGGCTAGTCGGGAGTGATGACGTGGCTGGTTGTGCGACATGGAAGTGGTTGTTTGGCGTACTTTGAAAGCATCGCGGAATGTGTGGGGTGACTGGCAATGTATGTAGAGGGTCCCTGGTTCGAACACAGGTAGGGACAGTGGGTAAAGCTTTCGCATTGGGGCTATAGACCTAGATTACTAAGTGGATTGAGAAATGTGAAAGGTTGAATTAGATAGCTTAAGTAGAAGTATTCTAGAAAGGTCTATGAAAATATGTTACAAGGTCCCCGTGCCTTCCCCGTTGTGTAGGAAGGAGCAAGGGGAGGGGTGAGAGATGGTTCAAATGATAGGAATATCATTAAATGTATGCTTATCAACGATAGCAAGTATTTGTTTTATTAATTAGGGCCTAATCAGAGAGAACAGTTAAAGAAATTGAATAGCGAACTGAAATGGCGATAGAGCTGTGAAAATTGAGTTGAGGACAAAGGAGAATAATTTATGGCTCTGGTTAGCGAAAAATAAATAAAAAATAGAGACAGTCAAGCGAGTTGGGTTGAGCTGTGGGATTTCAAGTGGAGGTCTGAATGCTTGACTGGAAGGCAGTGCTTTGATAAATTCTAATTGTTATTACTTTATTCGATGGGTTGCTTGACGCCAGTGGTGTATGCAAATAGTTGGTGAATTCTACAACGATAATGTATTTTCGTTACGGGGACCAGGGGATGCAAGGAGCTTTAGCTATTATGCTGAGGGAATAGCACCAACCTATAGTGGGTTCTAGATTTGTTAAATAAACAAACTTATATTTTAAACTAAAGTAATGCAATAGGCTACAATTATAACATTATCAGAAAAAGGCACAATTTAATGTGAAATAGTTATTACAATTATTATTAATAGTTATTACAGTTATTATCATTGATCCAGTAATGATAGAAGGATAGTAGAGGAAAGGCAAGGGATTAAATCTCATTTAGGGAAAGAAGCAGAGTGTGAAGATATATTAGGGAGAAAATACCATTAACTGAGGGATATAAAACGTTTAGCTGAAAAAGAAAACAGGAATAATTTACCTTCCACCCTAATATAGACATTGCATTACTTTTGATGTAACCGTGATTGTATTGGCTAAAAAATGAAATATGACATTTACAGGGGGGACAGGAACAAAATGGAAGGGGAGACAGATTTTCCTAGGGGGTTGATCAAATAATTGATAATGGATCATTTGAGATGAGATCACATGTAGCAGATTTAGGGTAATCAATTAAATAATCATTGTATACTCGAGGAATTTTTAGTGGTTTTATGGATTAGTTATGAGAAATTAGATTGATACAAACAATTATTGATGGGTTAGGACTGGGGATATCTGTATCATGTTTTGTGTGTACTACCATCTTTAGATCATAACCAGGAGAAAAAGATTAGCTTATCTCATTGGAATGTGCTGTACTGATATCGACTGTTTAACATAACAAGCTGTGATTCATGTGAGGAGCTGTTAGGGGAGTAGGGGGAGATAAGGCTTGTGTCACACACAGACACAAACACTGCCTCTTTGTTAGAACGCTCAAGGGCATGTGTACTGCAAAAGTGCTGACTCTCTGGACAAGTTGCAAAACAACTAACACCTGGCAACAGGGAAGCGCCAAGGGGCTGGGACCAGCCTGTGCACCAACGATAGGCTGAGTAAGTCTAAACCACGCTCAGTCTCTACTCTGATAGGCCTGCTTGGAACAGGAACTATCTCTGTCAGAGTATTTAAAGAAGAACTCATAACAATGGACCAGTTCTCTGTCTGCCCTGCGTGGTATTTCAGTGGACCCGTATATACGAACATCATATTTACCATTGAAGTGTTTTGCATTAATTAAAATACTAGTCTATTATAGAAGACGTGTATTGACCTCTTTTTGTTCCAATACCAGATTTGAATTGACGCAACTTATCAGTAGCATTGCCTTTAAATTGTTTAACTTGGGTCAAACGTTTCGGGTAGCCTTCCACAAGCTTCCCACAATAAGTTGGGTGAATTTTGGCCCATTCCTCCTGACAGAGCTGGTGTAACTGAGTCAGGTTTGTAGGCCTCCTTGCTCGCACATGCTTTTTCAGTTCTGCCCACACATTTTCTATAGGATTGAGGTCAGGGCTTTGTGATGGTCACTCCAATACCTTGACTTTGTTGTCCTTAAGCCATTTTGCCACAACTTTGGAAGTATGCTTGGGGTCATTGTCCATTTGGAAGACCCATTTGCGACCAAGCTTTAACTTCCTCACTGATGTCTTGAGATATTGCTTCAATATATCCACATCATTTTCCTTCCTCATGATGCCATCTATTTTGTGAAGTGCACCAGTCCCTCCTGCAGCAAAGCACCCCCACAGCATGATGCTGCCACCCCCGTGCTTCACGGTTGGGGTGGTGTTCTTCGGCATGCAAATACCCCCTTTTTCCTCCAAACATAACGATGGTCATTATGGGCAAACAGTTCTATTTTTGTTTCTTCAGACCAGAGGGCATTTCTCCAAGAAGTACGATCTATGTCCCCATGTGCAGTTGCAAACCGTAGTCTGGCTTTTTTATGGCGGTTTTGGAGCAGTTGAGCGACCTTTCGGGTTATGTCTCTGGATAAGAGCGTCTGCTAAATTACTAAAATGTAAATGTAATGTCGATATAGGACTCGTTTTACTGTGGATATAGATACTTTTGTACCGGTTTCCTCCAGCATCTTCACTGTTGTCTGGGATTGGTTTGCACTTTTCGCACCAAAGTACATTCATATCTAGGAGACAGATAGGCGTCTCCTTCCTGAGCGGTATGACGGCTGCGTAGTCCCATGGTGTTTATACTTGCGTACTATTGTTTGTACCGATGAATGTGGTACCTTCAGGCGTTTGGAAATTGCTCCGAAGGATGAACCAGACTTGTGGAGGTCTACCATTTTTTTATGAGGTCTTGGCTGATTTCTTGTGATTTTCCCATGATGTCAAGCAAAGAGGCACTGAGTTTGAAGGTAGGCCTTGAAATACATCCACAGGTACACCTCCAATTGACTCAAATTATGTCAATTAGCCTATCAGAAGCTTCTAAAGCCATGACATCATTTTCTGGAATTTTCCAAGCTGTTTAAAGGCACAGTCAACTTAGTGTATGTAAACTTCTGACCCACTGGAATTGTGATACAGTGAATTATAAGTGAAATAATCTGTCTGTAAACAATTGTTGAAAAATTACTTGTGTCATGCACAAAGTAGATGTCCTAACCGACTTGCCAAAACTATCGTTTGTTAACAAGAAATGTGTGGAGTGGTTAAAAAACAAGTTTTAATGACTCTAACCTAAGTGTATGTAGACTTCCGACTTCAACTGTATGTGGACGATTGGAGGTCTTCCAACAGACGGAGTTTGGTCTTCCAACATAGCACTTGGTGCGGTTACTAGGTAACCTGCAAGGCCTCTCTTGGAAAAGCAGTTACTACCAATCTTCATACTGTACTGTCTTTGGTAAGAGTTAAGGCAGTGGTTTTTATATCTAACCCAAGATAGACCAGAGCCTGCCATTTCCAATGGGCGCAAATGATTCAGTGGGCAGAATGAGCAAGGAGGTGGGCAGAGCCAAGCACGAGCTAGTGTTTTTTTATTAGCATATTTCCGTTAGGGACCGCCTACTCTGTGAAGTGCGCGTTTGCAGTCACTCAATTCGCCCTTGCACTCCTTAACAACGCATTTTTTTTTTTTTACGACTGGCAAAGGGTTAAGTCTACAAAACGCAGCCCACTCTGTTTGTTACAGATTTTAGTTTGGAAAACAGTCAACTGTATGGGGATCAAATGTTTAATCGATGAGAAAATTAGCATAATGTAGGCCAAAATCTATCTCCTCCCACTGCCGGTCACTTGGCTTCCTCTTATCATCATATTAGTAGTGAAGTGAAACGCCAACCGGATTCTTCACATTTATACATCCAGTGAAATATCTGGCTTATTGTTCCATCTGTGGTGAAGGTTAGGGTAGGGAAGGACGTCCCAAGGATTCCAGATAGCACTGATCTCTGTTCTGATTCAGCATGTTCCGGTTGGTGATGTAACTTCCTGTTTTTTTTTCTACAAAACTTTATTGGAATCAAAAGTGTCAACAGCCTTACCTCAGTAAATGTGTATTTTATTTCAAAATAAATCCAGTAATGATGGACACTATTGATGCATTTTATACAATCCCAACTAGGACAACCACAACAACCGCAATACAGAAAAAGAAAATAAATCGATAGTCAATTCATTTTATTACTTTGATGTGGTGTAAGCAAAGACAGCATAGAATGTGACAAGCTGACCAACTGAATAGGTGAACTATTCTACTATGGGGCTTTCTAATTTTTCCTGTTGGTTACTTAATAATTGTGTTGTTGGCTGAGGAAGATTCAATGTGGATGACACTTCTTTGTGTGTGGATATTGTAGGCAGAATTTACATAACCAAAGGTATCGGGGCTCAGCTCCGCCTGGCTCTCATTTGGATCGTAGGTGCCGGGTCTCGGACCAGGCGGTACCCGGCCCAATTTAACCCCTGCATAAAAAGGCATTCTTACATATTCTCAGCAACTGTGAATATTCCTTCTGTGAGTTCGCAGATGTCTTTTCAGACTTGATGCTAACTTCAAGTGAGTTCCACACAAATGACATTGAACTCCCTCCCCAGTGTGAGTTCTCATGTGCACTGTCAGGTTTCCCTTCACACTGAAGCATCTGTCACATTCGTTGCAGCGATGTGGTTTCTCCTTTGTGTGAGTCCTCATATGCTTTGTCAGGCTATCCTTAATGCTGAAGCATCTGTCACATTCGTTGCAGCGATGTGGTTTCTCCCCAGTGTGAGTCCTCATATGCAGTTTCAGACTTGCTTTTGACGACAAACTTTTCCCACAAACGTCACATGTAAAAACCAGCCCTGTATGAATATGAAGCATATGCATCTTTAGGCTTTCTTTGTGAAAGAAACGTTTGCCACAGTCGGTGCAGCACTGCTGCCTCTCCCCCATGTGAATCTTCATGTGCTTCCTCAGGTAGAAGTTCATGGCGAAAGATTGTCCACATGTGTCGCACGTGTACGGCCTCTCTTCACTGTGCCGGAGTTGCCGATGCCTTCTCAAACCATGTGCTGTCGCCAAGCGTTTTCCGCAGACTTCACATATCAGCTCAGGCAACTCACTGGCATGTTTCCTTGGCCGTCCTCTTCCTCTCTTTGATTCGAGAGGCCTTATTCTATTCCCCACTCCATCTGCTTTTCCTTTATCAATTTCATTGTCGTCACTCCCCGGATTGACTTCAGAGGGGGGCTGATAGTCACTGGTTGATTCAGACTCAATGTAGCTCTCTCCATCAGATTCTGTTTGGTTCTCGCCATCGGATTCAGACATGATGTTGAAAGAGTCCCATATAAACTCTTCGGCATCAGACTCCACCGGCCCAGGGCCCAGACCGGGGCTCCATTCCTGCTCACAGTGCTGCTCCTCATGGTTAACCCTCTCTTCAGTTATAGTCAGCTGCTGGAGGTCTGGAGGGAAGGAGAAAGGCTGAAATTGACAAGAGACCAGAAATAGGGCTACTACTTAACTAAATACTAAATAAGGCGATGATTTGTCAAAAAAACCTGGTAAATAGTGACCACTAGTGGATGTTCAGTCTGTAGCTACTAGCTAGATAAATTACCATGTATACACATTGCTTAGCTACCATATATGGGTCATTTCTAGATTGTATAGCTTTTGTCAGAATTGATATCAAAAGTTGAAAATGTAGCATTTTAGCTAAACCTAACCTGCTACGTTAATTCTCCTAACCTACTGCGTAAATTCTCCTAACCAGCTACGAAAAGTAAATTTTGACAAAAGCTGTATCCCTTCTAGAAAACCCTTCATATGAGCTAAATAAAAAAAAAGGTGCTACACATAGGATTTTTTGTTTGAATTTTTACATTGTAATTTTATAAAATGTCCATAATATATCTGCTGTTCTGACTTTGTGGCTGTGTTATCTAGTGGATATCGCTCTGTCATTTCCTGGATACTAAAATTCTAGAATGTTCGCTCAATTTCAGTTTATGGTGAGAAAACAAGCACTGGATAGTGTAGGGAATCATTGTACCATCTAAATCGCTACAAAAATATATTTAGTTTTTAATAGCGGTTTTGAAGCTAGTGGAACAAAACTAAAGTTACTTTCGGTTTTGGCCCACCAGCTTCAAACAGCTGTTAAAACGATATTTGCAGTTATTGAAAATATATTTCACAGCGATTTAGATGGTACAATGATTCTACACTATTCAGTTGTTTTCTCACATAAACTGAAACTGAGCGAACAGTGTAGAATTTTAGCAACCAGGAAATGAGCTATTTCCACTAGACAAATTCAGAACAGCTTTCCCAGTTTGACAACAGATGCCACTCCGGCGGGAGAAATCAATAGGCGAATATCACAGAGGTCCCACAGCCAACCACACCACTTGCAGGTAAGTAATACTGTGAAACACTATCATTCCACTATTAGCGCCAGATATATTATCATATCAACAAAAGCTAGGTTTCCATTCAATAGGTGACAGATTTTCATGTGAATATTCTCAAATCCGTATAAAAACAATATGCGCATTTTCCCACCACAGATATTTCCATCAAATTGACTTGTTGCAGACAGAGTATGTGAGCGGAGCAGAGCTTGCCCAATTTGACTATAGTGAGATGTCCTAACACAGCTCTCTGGTCTTGGCCATTGTGGAGAGGTTGGAGTCTGTTTGATTGAGTGTGTGGACAGGTGTCTTTTATACAGGTAACGAGTTCAAACAGGTGCAGTTAATACAGGTAATGAGTGGAGAACAGGAGGGCTTCTTAAAGAAAAACTAACAGGTCTGTGAGAGCCGGAATTCTTACTGGTTGGTAGGTGATCAAATACTTATGTAATGTAATAAAATGCAAATTAATTACTTAAAAATCATACAAATGTGATTTTCTGGATTTTTGTTTTAGATTCCGTCTCTCACAGTTGAAGTGTACCTATGATAAAAATTACAGACCTCTACATGCTTTGTAAGTAGGAAAACCTGCAAAATCGGCAGTGTATCAAATACTTGTTCTCCCCACTGTATATCTCAAACTGCCCATCTTAATCTATTATTTTTATTGGCCAGTCTGAGATACAGTTTTTTCTTTGCAACTCTGCCTAGAAGGTCAGCATCCCAGAGTCGCCTCTTCACTGTTGACGTTGAGACTGGTGTTTTGCGGGTACTATTTAATGAAGCTGCCAGTTGAGGACCTGTGAGGCGTCTGTTTCTCAAACTAGACACTAATGTATTTGTCCTTTTGCTCAGTTGTGCACCAGTGCCTCTCACTCCTCTTTCTATTCTGGTTAGAGACAGTTTGCGCTGTTCTGTGAAGGGAGTAGTACACAGCATTGCATGAGATCTTCAGTTTCTTGGCAATTTCTCGCATGGAATAGCCTTCATTTCTCAGAACAAGAATAGACTGATGAGTTTCAGAAGAAAGTTATTTGTTTCTGGCCATTTTGAGCCTGTAATCGAACCCACAATTGCTGATGCTCCAGATACTCAACTAGTCTCAAGAAGGCCAGTTGTATTGCTTCTTTAAATCAGCACAACAGTTTTCAGCTGTGCTAATATAATAGCAAAAGGGTTTTCTAATGATCAATCAGCCTTTTAAAATGATAAACTTGGATTAGCAAACACAACGTGCCATTGGAACACAGGACTGATGGTTGCTGATAATGGGCCTCTGTACGCCCATGTAGATATTCCATTTATTTATTTTTTAAATCAGCCGTTTCCAGCTACAATAGCCATTTACAAAATTAACAATGTCTACACTGTATTTCTGATCAATTTGTTATTTTAAAATGGACAAAAAAATTTGCTTTTCTTTCGAAAACAATGACATTTCTAAGTGACCCCAAACTTTTGAACGGTAGTGTATATATATATAAAATCTCTGCCCAGCCTTGCAAGAGGGGCCAAAAGGTGTTTAGCTTCCCCAGTAGCTCTGCAAGCGCGGAGAGGATATGTTCTCCAGGCATCATCACATGAACCTGAAGCCACAGACAGGCCAAACTCGTGTTTCTATGCCAAATAAGGCATTTTTCGTTTAATTTGTATTTAATTCTAAGTAAGTCACAGCCTATATGTGTAATTTATAGACTATAATGATTAAATACAACGAAATGTTGTTTAAATGCTGAGCGTTTTATGTCCCTGCCAGCCTAGTGTGTCCCACTCGCAAATGCTTCACAATGTATTTCTTTGTAGGCTATAGCCTTGAAATAATTGAAATAATATAGCCTAAATAATTCATTTTCGTTCCTTCTTAGGCTCCTTGTCTGACTCCTGACCTATTTAGTGTTTATATGCTGTTTACATTTACATTTACATTTTAGTCATTTAGCAGACGCTCTTATCCAGAGCGACTTACAGGAGCAATTAGGGTTAAGTGCCTTGCTCAAGGGCACATTAACGTCATTTAGCAGACGCTCTTAGCCAGAGCGACTCACAAATTGGTGCGTTCACCCTATAGCCAGTGGGATAACCACTTTACAATTGGGGGGGGGGGGGGGGGTAGAAGGATTCCTTTATCCTATCCCAGGTATTCCTTAAAGAAAATGTAGCCTATTTGAAATGACATGTAGCCTATTTGAAATGATGAGTGCTTCTTACGTTCACCTTTTCATGTTTATTAAAATACTTTTCATTCAAATCATATGGTTTGGTTTCAATACTTCAAAACCAAAATGGTAGGTCCAGGTAGTCACAAAAATAGATGGGTGTTGGTTAAATTGTGATTTTAATGAATGGAGCGAATTTGGAGAGGCAGTTTTTTTCCCCTGTGAGCACGGAGCAGTTTTTAGCGGAGTCGTTTGGAAAGGATGTGGAGCGCCTGAGCAGCAAGCACTGCTCCATGAGGTGATGAGCATGATTTTTGACCGCTCAACTCCGCTCATATACTCTGGTTGCTGATAAATGGCTGTGCGTAATGACGTAGTACACATCAAAAAATACCCTTTTGCGGTTAATTTCCCATGTACCGAATAAAAAAATACAAGTTAAATGGGTTTCCATCACATTTAACTCTACTGATGGTTTTCTCACAAAAAAATGTTGATTTAAATAGCTAGTGTGCCCACTCTGGTATTGCCACTTGTGGTCTAGGCAACAGCTCGCAGATACAGTGTGGGCAGATAGCCTGTTGGCTAGAGTACACATATAGCCTACATGAGATTACTGACAAAAGAGCAAGTTTATTTTTAATTTGTCAAATGGCAGCCAAGCATTGATGATCATGTCACCAGAATATTGGAAAGTCACACCTCGATTTATTGGAAAGGAGCATCAAGCTCACCACCTTGCACTTTCACCGCCGACATTTCAAGTTAATGTCACATGCACAAGTACAGTGAAATGCCTTTTTTGCAAGTTCTAAACCCAACAATGCAGTAATCATAATGTATTTCATCTGTAGCCTAATAAACTGCATGCTTTCCCGACCAGTCATAGTGGGAGAACCACACGTCGTCGCGTGACTGACTCCAAGCATAACATCTTTTCCACCGACATTTGTCGCATAATTCATTTTACCCACACAAAAAAAAATCCCACTTTGTCTAGCGTATTTTGCTTTATAGACGTTTACAAAGTTCACCGAACATATTTTTTTATCTGACATGTACTTTACTCGCATTAAAAGTTTGGATGTAAACCTGGTTATTTTCTGAAATTACAATACAAAAATCAAACATTCCTGTGTAGCACCTTTTAAATTACTGTCTCCAAAGTATTTTCGCAGTAGGCCTATATGGCGATGCGTGTAACAAAGCCTTTCGCATTCAAATTAGGCAATGCAAAATGTATGTAATTTAGCGAGACTAGTCACAAACCTGCTAATCTATGCACCTTTACCTCCGGTTTGAAAACCAAATCCAGCAGTCTTCGTAAACGTGCATTCGCCCGTTTCAAACGGGAGATTTCTTCCTGGTACTCTGCTATCGTTTTTTTAATAACCACGGATAATTCCAAAGGAACTGCGGTTAATTTTTCGTTGAGAAACACATTAAGCAGCTGTAGTTTAGACATGTTGTAGAGGAAATGGATAGAAGGTGGGATAATTATTGTTATTAACTAGCTAGCTATGCTTGCTCAAGAATCGCTTGCTTGATCACGGTCAACTAGATTGTATACACCTACGGACGATATTTACCATTGAAATACCGCGAGGGTTTGGATTTATTCAGCATTGAAAATAACTGGGAACTCGGAAAAATACGAGGTCAAATCATGACGTAAGTGATTTTCATGTTGGAAAGGCGGAGCTCTAGAAAGAGGCCCGAGTTGGAATTCCGAGTTGAATGACCATCAAATCGAATTTTCCCATTCGGAGCTAGTTTCTTTCCGAGTTCCCAGTGGTTATGAACGCACTGAAGTCGCAAGTTGGAGATTTCCGAGTTCCCAGTTGTTCTGAACGCGGCATTAGAGGAACGTCCGGAAGGGGATACTTGGGACGTCCCTAAACTCTTAACCGTAACCCTTACCTTAACCATTTTACATTTCAACTTCAGTGGGGTAACGTCAGAGTTGGGACGTCACAAGGAATGTACTTATGAAGCTTGCATTTGGACTTTATTGTTACAATTAATTATTAATGTGTTGTAGACAAAATAATGAAAAGGGTTGTCTGGTAGCCTCAATAAATAGACAAATATTTCGTGACAGTGTGACTATAAGGTTCAATCGGCACAAAGAATGGTTCTGAGATATTGAGAATCAACGTTTTCACATCCCAGATCTCAGAACTGTTCTGTAGTGAATTCTTCTTTCATAACCCATTTAAGGTCCTCATCTTAAATTCACCTAAAACACAAATGTCAATCTAGCCATAAGTTTATATCTGACACTTTTAAAGAAGACTGTAGCTATTTGAATACATACACGACAGAATAACACTATTTTACCAATATATAGTCAGAACACATCAAATACATTAAATGTATTATGATCATCAGACGAATTACTGTCATCACTGAACAACGATGTGACAACATTATTTAGGCTACGTTTTTGTTGTTGTTGCTTGCCTTCCGTTATTGCTGGCTAGACTAGCCTAGATCTGGGTTTCCCAAACACGGTCCTGGGGCCCCACCTGGGTGCACATTTTGTTTTTTTCCCCCCTAGCACTACACAGCTGATCCAAGTAACCAACTGTGTAGTGCTAGGGCAAAAACCAAAACTTGCACCCAGGGGGGGCCCCAGGACCGAGTTTGGGAAACCCTGGCCTAGACCATACTTAGACGGAGATGGCAAAGACATGTGTTCTGATTGGTCCGTCTGTATTTGTTCAGGCTTGTGATTGGATTGCAGATAGAACCTTATAGCGCCAAGTTCTAATGGGTTAATGCTGATAGAACTTTCTAGTTTTTCATTTTTTTCCACTTAAAATTAACTTTTTCAAAAATCTAACTTCACAGACATATGAAGAACCATCTAAAGATCTATTATATGTGACTAACTCATTTTTGACAAAAAAAAATGTCAGATAAAACCTTATAGTCCCAAGGTCTCGATTTGTAGTTGAACAAGTCATTGCATGTATAGATTATTTTTTACTTAAGACTTGACTTAAAAAAAAAAACTTGTGACTCGACTCGACTTGCTCTTAGAATCTACAACTTGGACTTGACCCGTTCTACTTGGGACTCAGACCTTGTGACTTGATCCCACCTCTGGTAAATATGCAAATATATTACAAAATAAATCCAATCATCACGGACATCATTGTCATATTGATATACTGTATAGGCAAAACATATTTATGCATTTAATTTTTTAATTTACTTCAAATCACAGAAATTCCAAATAGGGCAACAACAACAACAACAGAAAGAAACAAAACAAATTGTCCAAATTCATTTTATTCCTTTGGTGTGGTGTAGGTGAATAGTTTCTGGTATCATGTAACTTGTATATACACTAAACTACAATATAATAATTACAATAAATTATCAAATTAGAACAATTGCATGAACAGGAATACATAAGTCTAAGAATTTAAATATGTAGGTGTTCACAAAAGGTTGTATATTCATGTTAGCTAGGTATTATCTAGTGTCTGTCATCTGAACAGCTCAAGCAGTATGTGAAATCCACAGATGGAAAGAAACTTAAAGGGTTAAGTATTAGAATGGAAAATGTGGCACCAACCAAGATGATTGGTCTTGAGGCTTGTTCCCAAATGTATGAACTGTTTTTCATCATATCTCAAATCTAAACATACTATGTCTTATACATTAGGTTATTGAAGACATTCTCCCTCTAACTGTTTTGCTCTCTGTATATTCACCACTAGATTAATTTCAAACATTGTTATTCATCACCATCTACTTTAGACTAGTCCACTTTAGACCATCTACTTTAGACTAGTCCACTTTAGACTAGTCCACTTTAGACTAGTCCACTTTAGACCATCTACTTTAGACTAGTCCACTTTAGACTAGTCCACTTTAGACCATCTACTTTAGACTAGTCCACTTTAGACCATCTACTTTAGACTAGTCCACTTTAGACCATCTACTTTAGACTAGTCCACTTTAGACCATCTACTTTAGACTAGTCCACTTTAGACCATCTACTTTAGACTAGTCCACTTTAGACCATCTACTTTAGACTAGTCCACTTTAGACCATCTACTTTAGACTAGTCCACTTTAGACTAGTCCACTTTAGACCATCTACTTTAGACTAGTCCACTTTAGACCATCTACTTTAGACTAGTCCACTTTAGACCATCTACTTTAGACTAGTCCACTTTAGACCATCTACTTTAGACTAGTCCACTTTAGACTAGTCCACTTTAGACCATCTACTTTAGACTAGTCCACTTTAGACTAGTCCACTTTAGACTAGTCCACTTTAGACTAGTCCACTTTAGACTAGTCCACTTTAGACCATCTACTTTAGACTAGTCCACTTTAGACCATCCACTTTAGACTAGTCTACTTTAGACTAGTCCACTTTAGACTAGTCTACTTTAGACTAGTCCACTTTAGACTAGTCCACTTAGACTAGTCCACTTTAGACTAGTCCACTTTAGACCATCTACTTTAGACTAGTCACTTTAGACCATCTACTTTAGACTAGTCCACTTTAGACCATCTACTTTAGACTAGTCCACTTTAGACTAGTCCACTTTAGACTAGTCCACTTTAGACTAGTCCACTTTAGACTAGTCCACTTTAGACTAGTCCACTTTAGACCATCTACTTAGACTAGTCAACTTAAACCATCTACTTAGACTAGTCCACTTTTAGACCATCTACTTTAGACTAGTCCACTTTAGACTAGTCCACTTTAAACCATCTACTTTAGACTAGTCCACTTTAGACCATCTACTTTAGACTAGTCCACTTTAGACTAGTCCACTTTAACCATCTACTTTAGACTAGTCCACTTTAGACCATCTACTTTAGACTAGTCCACTTTAGATACTAGTCCACTTTAGACCATCTACTTTAGACTAGTCCACTTTAGACTAGTCCACTTTAGACCATCTACTTTAGACTAGTCCACTTTAGACCATCTACTTTAGACTAGTCCACTTTAGACCATCTACTTTAGACTAGTCCACTTTAGACTAGTCCACTTTAGACCATCTACTTTAGACTAGTCCACTTTAGACATCTACTTTGACTATCCACTTTAGACATCACTTTACTATCACTTTAGACTAGTCCACTTTAGACCATCTACTTTAGACTAGTCCACTTAGACCTCTACTTAGACTAGTCCACTTTAGACTAGTCCATTTACACCTTTAGACTAGTCCACTTTAGACCATCTACTTTAGACTAGTCCACTTTAGACAGTCCACTTTAGACCATCTTAGACTCACTTTAGACTAGTCCTTTAGCCATCTACTTAACTAGTCCACTTAGACCATCACTTTAACTACACTTTAGACTAGTCCACTTTAGACATCACTTTAGACTAGTCCACTTTAGACTAGTCACTTTAGACCATCTACTTTAGACTAGTCCACTTTAGACATCTACTTGACAGTCCACTTTAGAACCATCTACTTTAGACTAGTCCACTTTAGACCATCTACTTTAGACTAGTCCACTTTAGACTAGTCCACTTTAGACCATCTACTTTAGACTAGTCCACTTTAGACCATTACTCTAGCTTTAGACCATCTACTTTAGACTAGTCCACTTTAGACCATCTACTTTAGACTAGTCCACTTTAGACCATCTACTTTAGACTAGTCCACTTTAGACCATCTACTTTAGACTAGTCCACTTTAGACTAGTCCACTTTAGACCATCTACTTTAGACTAGTCCACTTTAGACCATCTACTTTAGACTAGTCCACTTTAGACTAGTCCACTTTAGACCATCTACTTTAGACTAGTCCACTTTAGACCATCTACTTTAGACTAGTCCATTAACCACTTTAGACTAGTCCACTTTAGACATCCACTTTAGACTAGTCCTTACTTTAGACCATATCTACTTTAGACTAGTCCACTTTAGACAGTCCACTTTAGACAGTCCACTTTAGACTAGTCCACTTTAACCATCTACTTTAGACTAGTCCACTTTAGACCATCTACTTTAGACTAGTCCACTTTAGACCTAGTCCACTTTAGACTAGTCCACTTTAGACATTCACTTTAGACAGTCCACTTTAGACCAGTCCACTTTAGACTAGTCACTACATCTTTAGACTAGTCCACTTAAACATTCTACTTTAGACTAGTCCACTTTAGACCATCTACTTTAGACTAGTCCACTTTAGACTAGTCCACTTTAGAACTAGTCCACTTTAGACTAGTCACTTAGACATCTACTTTAGACTAGTCCACTTTAGACATTCTACTTGACTAATGTACTTTAACATTACTTTAGCTAGTATTAGAAATTTCTTTAGACTTTATCGACTTTAGATAGTCGACTTAGGTACTGTCACTTTAACATCTACTTTAGACTAGTCACTTTAAAGACCAGTCAACTTAGACCAGCCACTTTAAGCTAGAATACTATGATCTTATTTGTAGTGTGAACATGATAGTTTCACTTAAG